ACTAATTTTTGTAACAAAGGTTTTATTCTTAATACTTTAATTTATTATACATGTAAATGCTAAATAGTTTAAATGCATTATATAATCGCGTAGTATATCACGTGACGTGTATAAATATTTATAATATCAACTACAAAATTCGTGTAACATAATCGGCTAATCATGTGAAAGTCCTCCTATAAATCATAGCTGATAAAAAAATAACACAAAATCTTCTTTTAATATAACCTTGAAGTAATACTACAAAAAATTAAGTTTTTGGCACATTTAGAAATACTGCCAGGTGATTAGTCGGGTGATTAATAAAATTAGCTGGATTACAACTTTTTGCGGTAATTGTTTTGTTTTTCTGTTGATCATACCCGATTAATTTAAGCTTACAATAGTCAGATGAGCATTACAAATTATCTATATATTTGCTTCTCTGGAAAAAAGTTTACTTATCCCTTTACCAACAATATGGGTCAAACGATCTCCTCAGTATTGAAAGAAGGTCAAGATGATGAAAATGTGACAACATTTTTAGAGAGGAGGAAAGCAACATCTCCTTATTACGGTCCATACAACACAAGAAAAGCAACATTCACAACAAATTCTCAAGGGATGACTGCACCCTCTATAAACCATTCAATGAACATGGAACAAAAACTTTCCTCAGTGGAGCCCAGAAAGGAAACTTCCTGGGAGGAAGAAAAAGAAGATCCCACTTCTTGGTTACATCATCATCAGAATTCTCTAAATGAAATAACAACTCAGTTCAACAAGATGAATTTTAGAAAAGACGAGGAGGAAGAGGAAGAAGAAGCCTATCTTACCTGTCGTCAGTATACCTTCGGAGATGCAATATCTGTTGCAAAAATTCAAAAGAAAACAACTTACAATGGATCAGGAAGTCAAAATAAAATAAGTTTCGTCCAAGAAAATTTTCCTTCACTCCCTCAATCTGAAAAAAGGACAACTTTGGGAAAGAAGGTAGAAACTGCTCCTTTTATCCAACCGTATAATGTTGTAGCCCAATCTAGAAAGAAGGAAGAAATTTCTCCTTCTATCCAACCATGTTATAATACCTTAGCCCAGAAGACAACTTCCTTGATGTCGGAAAGTACAATTTCTCCTCTCTATCGATCCGTGACTTCCTCGTATAAGAGAAATGAGTTGATGACACCAAGAGAAAGAGAAAGAAGAGTAAAGAAAGGACGAGATATTTTAAAAATTCTCCAACATTTAGTCTCAATTCTAAGAGATAATGACGAAGACGTAATTTATGGCTTTTGGCAGTGTGAAAAGCTTGAAGAACGTGACCTTGAAGAACCTGGATGGGAGGAAGAGCTTTCTTTGGATGTTCTTCAAAAGTGTCTAAATAAAACCCCTGAGGATATATATGAATCTTTCAAGAAAAATTGTATTGACTATACTGCCTGTAGAAAAGAACATCTGATTACAAGCTTCCGTAAATACACACGATCAAGATATTTGGATGAAGAACCCGATCTAGAGATCATCTGTCACTTGTTATGGAATGATTATTACCGAGTATATGGTGAATTTAAGTGCCGAAATTGCTGGAAAAAATGGAGAAGCGCTTATATTTGGATATCATTCCAAAAATTTATTGAGAAAATCCCTGGACCGCGATTACGTAAGAATGATTTTTATATGCAAAATTGTAAAAAATGCAAGGCAGGAGAAAACGATGAAAGTTTCATCTTGCTTTATGAGCCTTTAAAAACTTCAGGCGGAGTAAAACCCCATAAGGTAGAATTATGTGCAAAGTGCCAAAATGATGAATACTGTAGACAAACCGGTACCTATTTGGGAAAAAACGTTCATTAATAATTTATTCAGACCTATTTATAGTCAACTTTATTTTCATTTGTATAAATAACAATTCGAATCATTTTATAAATAAATAAATAAAGTATTTCTTGTAAAAAATCTGAGTGGGGCAGTGCAGAGTTTATCATATACATTGTAAATTTCTTCGGGATTTAAAAAGTTGTAAAAGCATATTCGATAAAACCGGTTTTCACTCATTTACTATAATGATCGTCAAATGCTAAATCCGAGATGGTTATACAAAAAAAAAAATCGGTTCTCTTCCAAATTATTCAATTTATTTATTAAAAATCCAAATTCATGTCTCAAGCCATCGGCAACGTATCGTATTTGTTATTATATTTAATATATTTATATTTATATTTTACATCTATTGAATAAGTTTATGATCTTTTTTTTTAGACAGCGTTAGCTTATGCTAGAGTATGGCATCTAGTTGATGCAAAACAGAGAATATTAGGTCGTATGGCTACCGGTATTGCAACGACTTTAATGGGAAAGCACAAGCCGATTTATGATCCCGCATGTAATCATCAAAAAAATCAAAAAAAAAATTTCTCAATTTTTTTCTTTGACAATACTTTTTTTGACCAAAATTATTCTTGTTTGAAATAGCTGACTGTGGAGATTATGTTGTAGTTATTAATGCAAAAGAAGTGATGGTGACCGGTAGGAAAGCTGAACAAAAGTTATATAGGCATCATACTGGATATCCTGGAGGTTTAAAAGAAATTGTATTTAAAGATTTATTAGAAAAAAATCCGGAAGAGGTATGGAATTTTTTTTTTTTTTTTTTCAGAAAAAAAAAATAAAAACGTTGAAATCAATTTAACGCAACATGGTATTCCGTGTAGATTGTTAGGAAAGCAGTTTCGGGGATGTTACCGAAAAATAAATTAAGAGATGTTCGATTAAATAGATTACATATTTTTCCTTATGATAAACATCCCTATAAAGAAAACATTACTAAAATTTATGATAAAACTCTTCTTGATAAATTTGGATTACCTAAACAAACTAAAAGTGAAAAGAAAAAGAAGTTTAAAGATATTAAAGCTATCACTTCCAAATTTGTTTCTAATAATGATGGTGATGATGTGAAAAAATAAGGAATTATCTTTTATCTTTTAAAAAAAAATCAAGATTGTTTTTAATTAACAAAAGTTTAACATATATTTTTCCTAAAATGAATTCTTTAACTTGTCAAATTTATTGTCGGACTAAGGATTTTGGAAAATCACCGATGGGTTTTTGAAATTACCGGAAAAAATTTTCGAGGTTTCATCTTGTGTCACTTCTATTAGTGGCTTTTAATAATTTTTTTTGGTGGCTCGGTACATGTGATCCTATATAGATTTATTTTTACGGATCTTTTGGAGAGTGTCAAAAATGGAAACGCAGATATTGATTTCATAACCCAATTCCCGAAGATACATCTTTAAGTTTTCCTCCTAGAGGTTCCGCCCAACTCATAAAACAGCTTTGTAATTTAGCTTTTAGAAAGGAAGGGTAGTAAATAATTTTGATTTTTAATTTTTAAAATATAAAAATGATGATTCTTTTTATTCATCAATAATCAATAAATTATATTGATTTACATTTAGTTTTTTTTAACCTAAAAGAATTCTTTGTCCTAACTATCGCACAATCACATTACTATAATCTTTTTGGGCATTTTGTGTAAAATCTTAAACCTCCGATTTTTTTTTTGCTGCGTCCAATTTGTAAGAACGGAAAATAGTAATTAACGACACGTGATGTCGCGTTTAAGCAATTGGAGAAAAAAATTAATAATGCAGTCCTAATCGGTATGGGCTGAAATAATGGGCTGAATTGGCTAATTATTTCTTATTGCAAGTTAATTTATATATAATGGTTGAGAAAGATAAATCCTTTAGATATCAGATAAACTCGCATTTCAAAAAAAAAAAAAAAAAAAAAAAAAAAAAAAGAATTGTTAATTTATATACTTTAGATAAACTCGCATTTCAAATATAAAAAAAAAAAAAAAAGGAAATTAAGATAATGTCCACTCAACCAATTATTCAAAGACGTATAGCTCTTCCCGCTCGGGTTGAACCTAAAGTAAATATTCAAACTTTTATTGAACGATAAGAACCTTTTTTAAGAAAGCTTTATTAAATCTGTTGTTACATAAAAATAGGTGTTCTTTGCCAACGAAAGAACCTTTCTTTCTTGGCTACAATTTACAGTTGTGTTAGGTGGTCTTGCGATTGGACTTCTCAACTTTGGAGATAGAGTTGGGAAAATCTCGGCTGCTGCGTTCACCTTTGTTGGTACGTTATTGAGAAATTTTGATTTAATTTGATCAAAAAGATGTTCAAAAGAAATCTTTTATTGAACCCATCATAATCATAATTGAATTCAATAGCCATGTCTATAATGATATATGCTCTCTTAATATATCATTGGAGGGCCGCAAAGATACGGAAAAGAGAAGAGGGGCCCTATGATGATAGATTTGGGCCAACAATTCTTTGCATTTTCCTCGTCGGTAATTATCTTGTTTCTTTATATAGTTCATAAAAGTTTTGAATTTTGTTCAAAACATTAAATAACTCTTTAAAAAATGAAATAGGGGCAGTAATCATCAACTTCGCACTCCGGCTTACGTCAACGTCAGGAACACATTAGTAACAAATTCTTAAAGATTTAAGTTCATATCCTCTTTTTATTGCAAAAGTAATTAACGGTGTAATTCAGTTTTTGTCTGATACTGTATTACCTTTATTTTTGTGTATGGTCAATGCTTTGAATATCAGATATAATATATATATATATATGTTTTTTTTTTTTTGTACTTATTACGCGTGTTAATAAAACAAACCAAATTTTTTAACGTGAATTTTCTACGATAAAAGAGTTTTCGGAAACTTGAAAATGAGTTGGAGAATATATCCTTGGAAAAACCAAAGATTGCAAATTAATCCATATTTTCAGTGTTTATTACCATTTCTTTTAAAATCTTGTTTCTGATCATCTTTAGTAGAGATTCACATTTTTCAACGAACCATTTTCTTTAATATGTTTTTACCTTTTTTATTACACACGAACACTTTTTTTCCTTCTTTAAGAACGTTTCTTTTGTTGATTTCTTTATTGCCAATATTTGATTCCTTATATTCTAATACTTATATTTTTCTAGACACCCTAAGTTTAAACATGTTTGATAGATAAATGTACGCGATCGACCTGTCCTTAAAGGGTTGGGCATGAAAATTGCGGTCATTGATTTTCGAGTCATGTGATAGCTATAAATCAAATCTTTAAATATTGAACAGGTAATAAGATTTGATAACCATCTAAGTAATATACATTACGAAGAAAAAAAAGCCTTTTATTTCTTTATTTTCTTTTTCGATCAATCCAGTTCATTCTTTACAAATAAACTTTTAAATTATTAAATAATAATATATATATATATATATATATATTTTTTCGTGCAATTATTATTAACCACTTTATAATAATTAATATTAATCCAATCGTGTTACAATAATTACAAATTATCGAAATTGGAAGATTGTATCCATCTCTCAAAATAAGATCCGTGACGTATTTTGATTTTTAAATTACCTTGCATTTTTCTTTTTCTTTTTACCCGAATTAACTGATTCTGCCAAAGCGTGTTTAGTCTCTTTGATATGGTCAAATAACTTATTTCTGGTTTGAAATGCCTCTGAACATACGTTACACTTAATCTATAAGAAATAAATGATTATAAATAAATGAATAGAGTGTATAATAACGAGAACAAGGCAAAATTCAAGCTGCGACCAGTAAATCACCTGGTTGACTGCTTCTTTTTTCTTTTTCTTTTTCTTTTCCTTTTTAGAATTACCACTCTCGTTTTGATCTATATTGCCGTCTTTTAAGAAATATGGGGTTGTCCCTGAATCTTCTTCTGATTCAAAGCCTCCGCGAGAATTTATTTTTGTTTTTTCTAATGACTCGGACAAATCAATTTCATCTTCACTTGCAACACCTTTAGTTACGCCATTTTTGGGTGACTTTTCCTTTGTCGAATTTACTTTTGCTTCATCATCATAACCCCAATTAGGAGTCTTCAGTTTCTTCTTTTGTTTCTTGTTCTTTTTAAATCCTTTCTTGGGAGTGAGTAGATCACTACCTTCCTCCTCATCACTATCCCTTTTATCTGGGTTTATATCCTGATGACCGTTTTGTGCACCATTTTCAAATTTTAATTCATTTTCCAATTCACCCGCTTCAACGTTGCTTATCAGTTCTTCATCCTCTTCATGCATCTCTTCTTTCAATAATTCCACATTTTTAACATGTTTCTTACTCTTTTCATGATTCTTCCATGCATTTTCATTTTTGAAGCTCTTATTACATGCCACACAAAAATATTCATCATTCGGCACCTCTTCATCCCCTTCTTCCTCTTCCTCCTCCCACTCTTCCTCTATCTTTGTCCAATCCTGCTCTTGGTAATCTTGTAATTTAGCAATACGCTCCGCACGTTCGCGTATTCCTTTTAATTTAACTTCTGTAATCTGTGCTTTTTTTCTTATTTCTGCAGCTTCTATAAACGCCTTATATCGTGGATCCCTTTTTTTCACATATTCAACCAACGTCTGATAAATAAATAATTATGTTAGACGATTCTTCAACGATAATAAAAAATGAATGATCAAAGGCTTACCAGCACGGTATCATTATATTCTTTGCGAGCGAGGTCACGTGATTTTTTATTTTCTTTTTCCATATACCTCTTAACGGTTCGATCTGGTGCCTACTTCAGGGATGTTACCATTTTAATTGCCTCTTTTCAAAACCTCTGCCCCATTGGATTGTCCTATAACTTACCTCTGATAATCGATATTTATCAAACCATCTAAAACTTTTTTGGGTGGAGAAATTCATCCATGCTGTATAAAAGTTTTTAATTGGATTCCCACTTCCCAAGTCATATGAATCAATTGGTACTTTACTATCACCAAATGATGGATATGGATGAAAATCATCAGCATCTTCGCCACGATCATGCACAAAGGCATCCGCTTCTTCATCTGCTAATTTTTGAAATATCGTTCTATAAACTGTATAAAAACCCTAAAATCAAACGATATGAAAAAAAAGTAAGTTTGCGGAAGAAGTTTAATTGGCATCCTATCATCATACCTTTGCACTGTCATCAAATCCATGATAACATGCTGCGGTGAAAAATCTCAATATATCCTCAGCTCTAGTTCCCTGAACAGTAGTTCTAAATCTTCCTCTTGCACTACTTTCATCATAATAATCATTTTCCTCATAAATATCATCATCTAAGAAAAATATATACATATATATTTTTTTTTATAAATTATTTAAATTTTTAATTTAAACAAAACTCTAAAACACATTCAAACTTGCCTTCTCTTAAGATGGCATCTCGATGGCCGTCATACCTGTAAATTTTAAATTAACAAATTTTAATTTATTAATCTAAATCACAGTAACGTGAACGAAGTGAATTTTACCATGCTCTTTCATGAGAATCGGATAAAACTTCATAAGCTTCCTGAATAAGAGCAAACTTTTCTGTAGCTTCTTCAACTCTATGATAATTTTTATCAGGATGCCATTCTAAAGCTTTCCTACGGTATGCTTTTTTTATCTCTTCTGCAGGAACTTTGTGATCTACTTCAAGAAGTTCATAAAAGCAAGTTCGCATTTTATTTAACAAACTCAAACCTAAATATTGGACATTCAATAAAGGCTTTTTAAAGAATAATAATAAAGATAATAAGAAGAGAAATGTGATTTTGAAAAATTCAGTTATGAATCTTTGTTAAGACCAACTTTTCAGTCAAAAAAAAAAATTGATCTCAAAACAACACTAAACTAGAAACGGTTTCGGAAATCATTGTAAAGTCCGGAGCACAAGGTGACGTTAGTCCTTCCGGACTAACTATTCTGAACATTTTGTTTAAGCACGTGGTACATCAAAGTGGCGCCGCTTTTTTTGGTTTTTGGGGGGGCTCGAATCTAACAAATAATGAAGATCAAATATTGTTGTGGCCAATCAAGACAAATTTACTAAGTTATATAATTGAATTTGTGCAAAAAAAAGACGAAAAAAGTCGGTTGAAACACCAGCAAAATGGCACTTTTTAAATGGATTGGAATGGTATGTTGCTTTACTTAAAACTCGTAAAAAATAATTGACTCTTCGTCGCGAAGAAAATATAGTTTAATTTACGCACGTTAAACTCAACTTATACTTTTCTAACGCCGCCGTCGGCTCTTTATAGGGTGATTTGAGAAAGCCTGCTACTAATGAACCTTGGAGTAGTGGGTCTGAAAAGTATTTCGGCTTGGAAAATGTAAGAACGTTTTTGAAAATAACTGGTGTTGGGCAGAAGTTTACAAACTAAAGAACCCACGAAAACTTTTATCAAACAGCATTAACACTTTTCTTTTGTTCGTGAACATCAACATTTTAAGTTTGGAAATACTTGGTGAGCTATTAATTTCAATTTAAGATTATTGTTAGATTTCATTTAATTGATTAATTATAAACTTTTTTTTTCAATAGCTATTGCAATTCTATTTTGCAGGCACTTTATTTCTGTAAACCGTTCCGAGAATGCGTTGTCAACTTCCCTAATGGACCAAATGGTTTGTTAACACCTCTTATGTTTCTTACTAATTCACAAGCATCAACATCATCATTTACGAAAATTACCCCCAAAAAGATGCAAATGGCACAGGTGAAAATAAAGGTAGGATATTCTTTTTTTTTTTAAAAAAAAAAAAAAAGTAATGAAAAGTTTGCTTTACTAAATAATATATTTATTAAATAATATACCATTTTTATAGCAAATGAAGAAACATCAACATCAAATGGACTTAGCGAAGATACATTGTTTGGTGCATTAAAGGATTTATTTTGGAAGATAAGTAGTCAGAAGAAAAGAACGGGAGTTATGGCACCGAATGGATTTATATCAAAACTAAAGAAAGAAAATGGTAAATTTTTATTCTCTTTATCCCACATGTCACTATATTTATCGACGATTATATTATTTATTAATTTTTAGTTTCATTTTATTTTTGTAACAGAACTTTTTCGTTCAACGATGCATCAGGATGCACATGAATTTTTAAATTACATTCTTAATGCTGTAGCTGAGAATGTAATGGAACAACAAAAGAAAATAGAAGAATTAGAGAGACAAGAACAAGAACAACATTGTAACATTAGTGAAAAGTCAAAATCGTCAGTAAATGGTGCAAGTATAAATGAAAGTGAGGAGAGTGGTATTTCAGGTAACTCTTTAGTCGATGTTTTATTGTGACATTCAAGTATAACTTTTTCTCAATTGTCTTTATTGTATCAAAGCCGATGGAAGTTCTTCCGGGAGTTCAGAAAATACTTCCAATACATTCTCTTCAAAGACAACTTGGGTACATCAACTATTTGAGGGTACATTAACAAATGAAACCAAATGCCTGACCTGTGAAACCGTGAGTTAAACCTAAATTTCCAATTTGTTAGTTATGGTTTGAATCATTTATCAATCGTTATTTTTATCTTCAGATTACAAGTAGAGATGACCCTTTTCTGGACCTTTCCATTGATATTGAACAAAATTCTTCTGTTACATCATGTTTGAGACAATTTTCTGCAAGTGAGATGTTAGTTCACCAGAATAAATTTTTTTGCGATGTGTGTTGTGGATTACAAGAGGCTGAAAAGAGGTAGGCATATGATGATATCTTTGAGTAATTTTAAATGTGATAATTTATTTATATTGAATCCTTTTGATAGTATGAAAATTAAAAAGCTACCCAATGTATTAGCGTTACATTTAAAGCGCTTTAAATATCAAGAAAAGTTACAAAAATATATTAAATTATCATATAGAGTAGTGTTCCCCTTTGAACTGCGGTTATTCAACACGGTATATATGTTAATAAATTACTAATGATTATCCGTCAAAAACATTTAGTTAATATCTTTTTTTTTTTTTTGATTCTTTGACATAAGTGTGATGATATTAAAGATCCCGATCGTCTTTATGAACTTTATGCAATTTGTGTTCATATTGGAAGGTGAGAAGATTATTAAGAGATTATTTTACTTTATTTTTTTTTTTATTAAAAAAAAATTAACAAATTTCTTTAAAGTGGTCCATATCATGGCCATTATGTGACACTAGTAAAGAGCATGGGACAATGGCTCTTGTTTGATGACGAGAATGTAGAGGTATAATAGTAAAATGAACTGCTATTAAATTATTTTAAATTATATAAATTATCCTAACTTATACATTTTACTTTATATAGACGGTAGATGAAAGTGAGATTCATAAATACTTTGGAGATTTACCAGCAACTGGGTCAGGTTATGTGTTATTTTACCAGGCTTGTGATTTAGATTTAAGCTCTCTTGGATTACCATATTCTGTTTGGGCAAATAATGTGGCCTCTAGTTCATCATCAGATTTTGAAATATCGGCAGAAGGAGCTGCTGCTGCTGAATCGCATCCTATAGATATACAACTTACACCGAATACAACAAATGGCGTTAATGATAATGGTAATAATAATACCACTGCGAACAATGAAGAACTTAAGCGGGAGCATCGTCAAACTCCTGTAAGGGAACCATCATTCTCTGAACGTTGGATATTAAGAAAAAATAATTCAGATAAACGTAAATCACATGTTGATCAGGAGTCAAAGGACAATGATGAAAATACACACGAAAAAACACCTTCACACGAAAAGGAAAAATCATCATGGTTTGGAAGTTCAAAATCTAATAATAAATCAAAGGAGAAGGATAAGGATAAAGACAAAGATGAAAAAAAGACTTTATCAAGCCTGGAATCTTTATTTGAGGATAGTTCCAGCAAAAAAGAAAAGAAAGAAGAAAAGAAAAAGAAAAACAAGGAGAATAAAAAAATGGATAAATTAACAGGTACCAATGGATTTAAATCTGTAACTTTGTGATTTTTAATATATAATATAGATATAGCTGCTGAGAAAAAAGAGACTTTGGAAGGGGTAGATTGTTGGGATAAAAGGGATTATTTTTTTTTTTTTTTTTTTCAATAGAAAAAGCTTTTTATTATAAAATATTAATCAATACCTTTTCTCCTCTTTAAATCTCTTATTTTTCATTTTTTTTTTTATTCCTATTTTAAAAAATATACAATTATAGGTGCATAAGGTCACCATCTTAATTTTTTGATAAAATTTTTTTATTTACTAGTATTTACTGTACGATATTATATTTTTTTTATTTTTTATTTTTTTTTTTAACAAAAAAAAAGGAAAAAAAAAACTTTATACTTCTTTTAAACTAAACACTAATTTCTTTAATTCTCATCCCACTGCTTGAGACATTTTATTATTGTACATTAGAAACCTTTTTTTTTTTAATGATGGGCCATTTATAGAAGAATTAAAGAATTTATATATTTAATTATCTATTACGGTAGTCTTTTAAGTTTTATTGATGTAAAACAAATAATAATAAATGTACCTTTAAGATATAAATACGTTCTTTTCAAATTTATAAATGTTACAAATTTAATTAAATACGAGTTTTAATACAAATTCAATAACAAGAGGAAAAAAAAAATTACCTAGTATAATTAATTAATTATCTTACATCAGTGTCAGCAAAGCCATAGGTGGTGTGCTTATCATCATCATTATAATTTGAAGTAGTATGTGAGGAATAATCTCTATAACGATGACAATTATTATCATTATCATGAGTGAAATATGAAGAACTTGCACCATAACTTGGAGGTTCTCGAAAATAACTCCTCCTCCTCCTACTCCTCCACGTTCTGTTATAATCATTATTATCATCATCATTATTATTATAACTATTATTATTATTGTTTCTTCTACCAAATAAGTAACCTAATAAACCACCGCCTATAATCCCTGACCAAAATCTAGGATTAGGAAGATTTATTCTTTCGTTATCAGCTCTATTTTCTGGGGGGTTCGGTATGTTGATGGGCCTACATTAAAAAAAAAAAAAAAAATTTCATTTAAAAGTTTTTTCTAATTCAATCTAATCTTCGGTATTGATTTACCTATTATCCGCCCTTCGTGTCCTCATACATGTTAAATACATGTTGTATAAAATGTATCCAAGCATGCCAAGCCAAATGATTCCAAAAAATGCGCTAAATGACGTCGACGCTTTAAATTAAATTCGATAAAAATCTTTTTAAATTTTTTTTCTTTTTTATATATATAGAAAATAAGTTGACTTACAATTGTTTAGATCGGTTATATTATAATTTGAATCAAAATATTCATTAAACCAATGTTTTTCGTTTCGAATATTGGTGAAATATAAAGTATATTCGAGACCACAAGATCCTACACAAGATATTTTAAATGTATACATATATATAGATACATATCTCTCTCTCTCTGATCAATTAATTACCTTTCAGAACGTAGAGATCTCCTGGATAATCATATCCTATAATAAAAACAAGAACAAAAAAAAAATTTTAATATATCGTTATTCGAGTATATAACAGTAAAATAATGTTAAGAAATCACCTTCGCATGTAACCTTTAACTTTTTTTAAAAAATAAATAAATAAGTTAATAAATAAAAATCCTACAAAGAAATAAAATATTAGAATAAAATTGATTAACACATGATACATACACGTCCGAATTTTAATGATTTAGGTAAAGTTGCTTCACATTTCCAATTTGGATCTTTTTAATAATAAGAATTTATTAGAAAAAATTCATGGAATCTTTTTTTATTTAGACATAATACTCACTTGATCCATCTGATCCCACGTTTCGACATTGAATAACGTCTACAGAACACAAATTACTCTTTTAATAAAGTATTCAAATTAAACTTTTGAAATATAAAAGAAAGTTACGTTACCAGGTTCATAACTACAGCCTGCGTCTCCACCAACGCATGTTATCTGCTTTATAGGCTTTGTTCTTCTTCCAGTTGTGTATTTTCCTTTATGCAGAGTTAAAGCACGAACATTTTCTAGAAGAACTCGATCACCCCAGCTGTCAACTTCAACGTGCACGCAAAATAAAATTATACTTGAGAAAATTGGTATTATTTGTAGTTTCATTATTTTCAAAATATAAAGTATTCAGAGTATAAATAAAAAAACAAATATATATTCGGAAATCTGTCCTGTCACGTGTTGTTAAAATTTAAATATAAACAGTGCTAATTCCCAAATTTTTTTATTTTTTAAAAAAAAAAAAAAAAAATGCTTCGTCGTAATCCTACACGTTTAGATATTCGTCAAGATGACATTGAACAGCTTCATGATCTTAGGGCTATATATCAAAGAAAGCTTTCTCAAAAACCGGGTGCGAGTGGGAAAGGAAAAAGGAAAAGTATTGAACTAGAAGATTCTACTGGCACTCAACAACAACAACAACAACAACAACAATTGCAGCAGCCACCCATTCCAATAGTTGGCACAGAAGAACTTCGAAATTTGAAAAATACTATGTAATATATTATTACTCTTATCATTTTCTAATTTAAATATTATATTTTATTTATATTTATTACTTAATAGGACGACTCAAGAAAGAATTGGTTTATAATAAAAATTTACTATTGATCAGATTACAGAATTATGCCGGATCATGGATTGAACCGAAGTCATATATAAATTACTATAACGATCCTTATAAATGTAAATTTTAATACCTTCGATTTAAATAAAAATGAAACAATTGAAACATCATGCCATAAAGATACGTTGCTCATTTATATACAAAATTAATTTTACCGTTACCATGCTTCTAGTTTTGAAATAAACCGATCAAGGTACTTCATTTAACAAATTTAATGGAACTTCAAGAGAAGTTAAAATGGTAATAATAAAAAGCTGCTATTATTATTTTTTTTTTTTTAATAATATTGATAAATCTTGTATATTTAGAGTAAAAGGAAACGGTCTTTTGAAAATATTGAAAGTGAATCTACCGAACAAAAAAAAATGTTGAGGCATTACAAGATGATTGGAACCTCGTCGTGATAATTTATGTGATATCTACTAAGTTTACTAGTATTAAAATGGCCAAAGTGTACATGGTTACACTTATTTTACTTAGGAGAATTATTCCAAAGTGTACGATACGGTTATCTTAATGTGATATCTTCGTAATCAGGGCCCTGCGTTCGACCAGACCTTAATGGTGTAATTTTTTATGATTCAAAAGAAAAAAGCTAGTGTTATTAATGATTGAAAATATGGTACATTTTCCAATAGATGATTGGACTAAAAAATAAAGGTTATCAATCAGCTCTTATAACTATTTTTTTTGGAATCTAATCCTACTAATCCACCAATTGCATCAATTACATACTGAATCAAATTCATATTGGAAGACAATTACTTACACAATTAGGTAGTTGTGCATTGAAATTCCTTGGTATATTTAAGATATTATTTCTTTAATTCAAAGAGAAAGTTTAGCTGAAGGGAAATTTGTGAGGATCATTACACATGAGATTAATGAATGTTTTGAACTTTACTTTTTTTGATAATAAGAAAAGATTAGAAAAGAAATTCTTTGTTTAAGGTATTTGTTTCAGTTATGAAGTTTGGATGATTGGTTAAGTATTACAAGAAGTTTAGATTTTCTTTTTCTATTGAAGTAATTAAAAGAATTCTTGATAAAATTAATGGTCTTATTTAATATATGTTTTTTTTTAAAGTTATTACGGTCAAAGTACTATTGATATGTAATTTATAGTTAAATTATTAATGTATTATATTATTTTCCTTTAAGAAAATAAAGGTTAGCCAGATAAAACATATTAATATATTAATTGTAAACTTATAATAAAAGATGAAAAAATATGTAAATTGTCAAAAATTTATAAAATAAAATATATGTAAAAATTATCAAAAATTTTATAAAATAATATAACAAATTTATAAAAAATTTTTAAGTGGTATAAATTTTATAAAAAGTGTATATGTTTTTAAAAATATTCTTATAATAAAAATTGAATATAAAAAAAAATTATTAAATCATAAAATATAATTATTACAAATATAAAAAATAGAAAAAAAAGAAAAAAAAATATCAAATAAAATGATAAATATAACCCATATTATTATTAATAATATCTTAAATCTTTAAAGCAAAAAATCAAATAAAATAAAATATCATCTAATGTAAGATTTTTAATTATTATATTATTTTTAATAATTAAAAATTTAATATATTTATTTTTTTTTAATATAGATTTTTACATTAAATAATATTTGTATATAGCAAATCTAAAAATGTAATTTATGGTATAATAAAAATAATAAATATATTATTATACTTAAAAATTATATAAATAAAATTGAATAGTGTTTAGAATGGTAAAACAAAATTGGATTTCAAATATTAAAAAGTTTAATAGTAAATAATATTTGATATATAAATAAGTTAAATATATTTTATATAATATTTTTAAAATTCAAAAAGATACAAATTTTTATTTATTTTAAAATACACATAAAAATTATTTTATTTATTTAATATTTAAAAAGATCTTCTTTAAAATTAATGTAAAAACTATTATATTAGATATTTAGATTTTATAAACAAAATATAAGATTATCATTATTTGTTTCATAAAGTCAAAATGAGATTCATATAAATAATTTATTATTTAATTTTATAGATAAAAAGTAAAAGCATAGTCTTATAATACAAATTTATTAAATTAGTTAGCATTTAGCAACACATAACTTTACTTTTCTAATTGCTTATTATAATATCAATATAATTATATTATATATTTTAAATACTTTTATTTAATCTTGCTATTAAATTAAATATATTAGTATACATACAATAGGCAACAAAAGAGACGCAAGTGTGATTGGTTACCTTTAAACAGCTATAACTCATCAACTACAAATACTAGAAACATGATTTTGTACTTGTTTTAAAGCCTAAATATTTAATTATCGTTATATCCTGACAAATTTTTTTTTTTTGAAATGTGGCAGTTTTACATGATCTTTATTAAATTTATATAATACTAGATACATATAATAAAATAGAAAATACAAAAATATCTATAAATTAATTTATAGGCTAAACTACTTTATCAATACTAACCTTACACTTTATTGAACTAAACTATAAATAGAAAAGAAAAGAGAAGACTAAACTATTATACAGTTATCAAATATCTGGAAAGGAGAACGTGATTACTGCTATTCCAAAAATTTGACCAATGAAAGCCATAGGCGGTAACCACTAAAAAGAATGCAGGGTTTGATGTTATGAAGAAAGAAGAAGAGTATGAAAAACCTAGAAAATCCAAGGGATAATATAATTTTCTTTAATATTATTAGCAATTTTCTATTCGTTCAGAATAGCATTTCTTTTTATCCATATCTCATAACAAGATGTAGAAATATCATGATAAAGTGAAGATAAAAAGCTATGCAATATATTTTTTTTAGACAAGCAAGCTGTTATTTTGTCTAACAGAGATAAAGATATAATACTTTTAAATAAATCAAGGAACTAAAAATTAGTTGAGGTAGGTGATGAATTTCAGATAGAATTTGATAATATTTTTTGAATAAGTGAGTTATCATTAAGAGTATTTAACTCTTTGAGGTAAGTGATAAATGTTGACTTATGTGAAATAACTAAATCTTGAATGTTTTAGTTCATTATTAGGACACAGTCAAATCTTCAGTTTGGAAATGACAATAAAAACATTATGGTGAGGTATATGTGTTGAGAATTCAAGAGTAAACTACCTTTAAAGTAGGAAACATTTGGAGTAACATTTTAATCTTAAATTTCTTTTTGAAATAGCCTATAAAGAAAGTCTTACAAGAAGACTCTTCATCATTCAGAATTTTGAAGAGAAGAGGCCAATCTATAAGTTTGTTACAATATTTGATAAGGTGAGAAAATGAAAGTAGGAAGTCTGCCCAAATAGCTTGCATTTTATTTTTAATAAAAAGACAATAAGAAGCTATAATTGGAATGGAATTGTGATAGAGGTAATATTCTAAACCTAGATATTCTTTATTGATGGATAGTGGTTAAGCAGGAATTTGTTTTGCTAATTTGTCAATAGTATTATTAAGAGAATTATTGCTATGAGCTTGTACTTTGGTAAATGAAATAGAAATGTTATTTTGTGCAATGAGGCTAAATAATATTGATTAAATGTAAAAATATGGGATTTTGAAGGCAGAATTAATGGATAAAGAGTCACAAAAAGAAAGGAAAGTTTATAGAAAAAAGAGATAGTGGCTTGTAAATCAGTACAAATTTTAATAATAGAATTCGGAGGAAAAGCATACACTATAGCTAATATAGTAATAATTTTAGCAAGAGTGAAAAAGAGACTTAGTGATGAAAGAGTAGTGTTAAAAGAAAGTGCTGGCTATTTTGAATCAGTTTATAATTACGCAATACCTAACTGGCAATTTGAAAAATCTAAAGAAGTGAAAGAACCATTCGTATAAAATTGAAGAGAAGCAGCAGAAGTATAGATGCCTGCCGAAACCTCCTCAAAATAATTTTATCATACCCTTTTCTATGTTTTTAATATAGTTTCGACAGTTTCGGCTTTCGTCGTATCGAAAGGGTTTCGACATATCCCTTATTATGATTTTAATATAGTTTTGTCTAAGTTTCGACTGTTATTAAGGGGTTTCGTCCCTCATCATTAAGCAGAAGTAAAGTTAGATTTAAGAGTATCAAGTAAATTAATTGAATAAGTGTCAAATGGCAAAATAGTTAGATCTGGTAAAGGTTTCAATGGATAATGATAAGGATTAGTTAGTTTAGAGAGTATAACCTTCTGTAGCATAAGATCAAAAAGGCTGGATCTCCATCCTATATGTTTGTTGTACTGGATTTTGATTTCTATGCAAAATTAGACTAAAAGTTTCATAGCACAGAAATTGTGAAAATTTTTTTGAACATTTGTGACAATTATTGTGGGATCAAAAAGATTACATCTATTACAAGGATTAACATCTGCTCTGAAGTTTAAGTCATATGTAGCTATATAATATTGTGTGTATATTATGTTGTTGTTGATAGCTTTGACTTTTCTAATTATATA